GGCACCTGTAGTCCCAGGTACTCGGGAGGCTGAGGCAAGAGAATCCCTTAAGCCCAGGAGCTGGAGGTGGCTGTGAGCTGTGTGACACCATAGCACCCTACCAAGGGCAATAAAGTGAGACTCTGTCTCTAAAAAAATATAGATAGATAGATACAGATATATAGAGAGAGATATGCTTGTGCTTATAGATCACAAAAAGAGGTGAATGCACCAAGCCCCAGGGCCCATATGGGAAGTACGAGGGGTGAGGGGCACGAGAAGTTGTGGCTTTATTCTTCCCTCAGGATGGTATCAGGGAGGCACGGAAGCAGGCTTGGGGTTTAGTGAGTTTGAAGAACTTAGCAAGTTCCAGACAGAGAGGTCATCTCTGGTACTTGACATGATTAGGCCAAGAGGATACTGACCTTGGGTTTGAGAGCTGGAGAGAGGAGGTGGGGCTGTGGGCCCCAGACTGGTTGGACTGCAGAGGAAAGGGACGCTTTCGGGCGAGTCCTGTGCTATCTGCAGGAATTGGCTGGCCCTGGGAGGAACAGGCCCTCCAGTGTCACCAAAGCCCAGATGGTAAAGCATCAGAATAAAAAGACATGCTTGGCATACCTGGCCTTTCTCCTGCTGAACCTTCCCTTGAGTGACTTGCTCCCAGATCAAACTTTTCGGGTATCCAGGACAATGGGAGGAAAGCCAGTGCCTCACCTGAGGCTGGGCTCCCACCCAGCTGAGAAGGGCAGAAGGATGTTTTCCGCCCTTTACCATTTGTTTGCTCAACTCTCTCTATTTATGAGACAGAGCCTCACTTGGTCATCTTGGAAGAGTACTGTAGTTTCATCATAGCTCGCAGCAACCTCAAATTCTTGGGCTCAAGAGCTCTTCTTGTTTCAGTCTCCCAAGTAGCTGGGACTACAGGCACCTGGCACAAGGCCTGGCTGTTTTTCTACTTTTAGAGTTGAGATCTCACTCTTGATCAGGCTGGTCTTGAACTCCTGAGTTCAGGCAATCCACACTCCTTTGCCTCCCAGAATGCTAGAATTATGGGCGTGAGCCACCATGCCCAGCCAACTCTTAAATTTAGATTTCAGGTACAGAGGATTACAGTGAAACTATTTATTTATTTATATATTTATTTTGAGACAAAGTTTTACTATGTCACCCTCGGTAGAGTGCTGTGGTGTCATAGCTCACAGCAACCTCAAACTCTTGGGCTACCGGCTACCAGCTACCAGCTATTTTATTTTGCATTTGTCATTGTTGTTTAGCTGGCCCAGGCTGGGTTCGAACCTGCCAGCCTTGGTGTATGTGGCTGGCGCCCTATCCACTGTGCTACAGGCACCAAGCCTACAGTGAAACTCTTAACCCTTCTGTGTACCACATCCCATCAATCTTAAGCCATGTACCCCTCTGTAGTCAGGGTGCCTTCTTATCGTTTCTGGGTTTAACTTTGAAGAATTACAGCATTATGACGAGCTATAGCTGCCCAGCTGTCATCCTCCCGAGCTCTGCCTTTGAGTGGCTGTTGCTGTTCAACTAGCCCCGTAAAAGTGGGACTGCCTTCCCCTGGGATATCCCTTAGTCCAGAGTGGGCCATGCAAGCTGCTAAGACCCATAAGCCATAAGGCAGAGCCAACCGAGGACATTCTTTATATGCATCCTGTGGGATTCACCCAGCCATTTGGTCAGTGTCACTGGAGGCCCTGCTGAGTGCAAGGCCTGTGCTAGGTACTGCAGACTGAGGGTGAGTAAGAAACACATGCTTGGTCCATGCCTTTGAGGAATTCGTAATTCAGCAAAGTCCTCTTAGCTGAGGAATGACACGGGTCCATTCCAGGCTGCTCTGGGAACCAGAGTCTCTTAGATAATCCCAGTGGCTCCTGGAGAGTCCTGGAAGGTTTGTTTGGTTCTCTGACCAGGGTACTCAGGATAGAGACTGATCTGCTAGGTCGGATAGAGGTTCCTAAGCCACCCGGGCACCCGCACCAGCTGCTTCCGTTTCTCCCAGTACAGTGACCACACACCTGTGACAGAGAATTGGTGCTGCCCCGTGGATAGTGTGGAAGAGGGATGGGGTGTCCAAGGTTCCCTGTTCTGCAGGGAGTGGAGAAGCAGGTTTCTCTTTCTTCTGTAAGAGAAACCCTCTTCCTGTATAAGGAGACACAGGCATTTGCAACCACCCTCTGTCTTTGCCTTTCCCATTGCCACGCTTTTGCTCTTAGGCTTAAAACTCAGTGAAGGGTCCCCGGATTCCTGGCTGTCAGGAGCAACCCACCCCTGCCTTGTTCCCCCACCGGCCTCCTGCACTAGGCAGCGGCTCCTCCAATGTGGCCAATCCTTGCTGGGGTAACTTCTTGAAATCAGCTCATTAAGCAAATTCCTAAAGTTTAGCTGCTTTTCTTTCCTTTGTACTTTTTTCTTGGACCATTGCAGACTATTCCTCAGGACAATTCAAGCTTCTTTTCTTCAGTCATCTCAGTTAACTCTCAGGATATAGGAGCTGATTTCAGGCAATATAAGGGGAGAGAAATACCATAGTGGCATCTGTACAAAAAGTCCAGAGAGCCTCCCCTAACCCAGCTCCTTGCCCTTCCGCTATGGAACCCTGAGTGTCCCTGTGAGGGTCACTGTGAGCCACCTCCCCTGCATCCTGCCCCTCCCTCTGGGCATCTGGTATGAAGTATTTCATTCTGTGACCATAGCTAGGATGGTTATTGAATGTAACGCTGTACTGAGAAAAAGATATACGTGGGGAGCGGAAGGGGTACACACCTGCAAGTCAGCGAGAAGAAAATTAAGAAAACAAATGCTCTCTTTAGTCACAGAGGGTATAAAGAAATTGGAAATAAACCCGCACATAAAAAATTCATTTCACAGGTGACTTCCTTGCAAATAGCTGAAGTATGTTCTGGCACGGAAATACCGAAAAACGGCATTTTTGTGAAAAGAGATGATTCACAGGCATTTATAGCTCTTTCCACAGTTCAAAGAATTTTTATGTAAATTTTTTATGTGATCTGGTGCCTTCAAAGTTTCAGAGAAATAGAATAAGGCTTTAGGACTGCATCCTGTACCTAATGACATTTAATTACTGCCACGTCTTAAGTGCTTATTATGAGCCAGGTGTACGGTGCTAGGTGTGCGCTATTCATTCCTTCTTGTCCACGTAACTGTCCTGAAAGTGAACATTATTCCCCCCTTTTGCAAATGAGGAAATTGAGATTCAGAGAGGTTACGTTATTTGCCCAAGTTCGCACAGCTAATAAGTGGTGGGGCTGGGACGTGAACCCATGTCTTCCAAGGCCATGGCAGTGATGAACTTTTCTACCCTGTGGTGGGGGAGGTATGTCAGTTATAAATGTATTACCTCTCAAAGGCAAATGAACCCTTTTACCTACACCATGTGCAAAAGAAGGCATCTCTCCTTTAGAGTGAGCACACTGAGCCATCTCAGCAGAGGGCACTGGAGGGACCCTGTGGGAGGGACATGTTCTTTCCTGCAGTTTTTCTGCCCTAGTCTATGGAATCCTGCCCCAGCCACAGACCCAGGATGAGTGTCCTCTGTGACCTCACAGCCTCTGCATGGCTATAATTTCCCACAACTCTCTCTACAAAGAACCCAGAGTCCTCACACAGGGACCCCAGTGCTCTGAAGCCTCTTGCCTGCGCCGGCATGTGAGGCTCACTG